CTCTCCTTAATGCCCTCTTTTGCAGCTTTCCCCCAGGCCACCCCTCTCTTGCAATTTCCTCTCTCCTGGTGCATCACTAGATCTCCTGCACATTCATCCACCTGGTCAACGGACTTTGAAAGTCTGTCCCTATGGCACCTGAGGTTTCCTGAGATGCTGCCTTGTGTGACAGAACTAAGTCCTGGTGGGTTTGGGGAAGAAGGGACAGCAATTTTGTTCCTCTGGATTAGCTTGGCTCAGAGGCAGAACCTGGGTGTCAGTGAGGTTCCCGACTCTTAACTATTCTTTCTCAGTGTGGCTGGCTGAGGCAAAAAGGAGGTTGAAGGATTTGCTCAAGGTCATGCCGAGAGTCAGGGGCTCAGCCTGCATAGACCCTCCTAGATCTTTACTCTGACCCCTAAACCACACAGAGTTCCGTATTTGATGCGATCCAGGTTCAGAGCAGGACAAGCTGGGTTCAATACGCACTGATGGACGTTAGCTTGGGTTTAATCTCCTCTAGGAGGATTTTCACTTGGGTCTTTGATCAAAATAGAGAAAGGCCACAATGATGCTTTGTCATGAATTAACTGCTCAAGTCAGAGCAGCCATAGGTGGAACAAACACTCATATTAGGAAGCCGTGGCTTGACACTGCAATGTTTTCATCTCCATGTCATATGATGCTGAGTTCTCTCACCACCAGAGTGCCACCATGCACTGGGCTGAAATACATTTGAGGCTCAGTAACCAGGGTACAGAGATGGTTGGGGACTGAGCTGAAGACACCTTCACTGCTGTTTAGTTGTGAACCCCAGAAAGGATTGAAGGTGTGTTTCCCATTGGTGCTACTGCATTCAACTGCAAGGGTCAAACCCTGGTTTCACTCAAGTCAGTAATAGAACTCACAATGATCTCCCTGGGACCAGGATCTGTTCTCTTGGACTGAAAGGCAAGCTGTAAGAATTTCAGCTCAAGTGTATTCTACCTGGAATGGCCAAGGTGCTACTGGCTTTGGAGACCAAGCCCACACCACAGACCTGAGGCACTGAAAGCTGCCTGAGATTTTCAAAGCTGCCTAAGGGATTTAGACACATGTGCCATTAATTTCAATGGGAATGGGGTGTCTAAACCCCCTGGACAGTTGGGCAATATTAGACTTAGGGCCTTCAGTCAGCAGAAAGACGAGGCCTTTCCAGCATGGCTGCACACAGGAACGGGTGGTTGTCTTCTCCTGCTGACATCCCTCCACCCACATTGTCCTGGGAGCAAGCATAGCCTGTCTGTAAACTAGGAACGCATTTATGGCCAGTAACCTGTAGAGATTTTGGAAGCTGCACAGAGCAAGCCCTTTTTGGCAACAGTTTGCATCAAGCGATCCAGCTTCGATAGAAGTGCTCAGAGGCATTGATGTTCCTATTTATAACCCTATGAATCCATTTGTAACCAATTAGTGGTGCTGGCTGGAGCAAGAGGTATAAATAGCTGAACAAATGTAAATATTAACACCGCAGTCTTTGATCCAGCCCTCTGAACTGTCACTGTGTGTCCTGTGAATCCAGCCCACTTAGGAAAGAACAAAGACCCTTTGCCCACATTACAGCAATCTCTGACCTTCTCTCTCTGCCCTTCAGCGTCAGGTCACATTTGTAACTGAGCTCTGGGTCCTTCATATCAGGGCAGCTTTTCCATGCCGGGCTGTTTCCCCTTGGAGGTGGGAATGGGGAGGCAGAGAAGTGTGTACAGTGCCTCTAAAATCAGGTTCTATTTCAAGCAAAACTCCTGCATCCCCACCCCTGTCACTGACTGGCACTTCAAGAAGGCTGTGTACAATTCCATGCAGTTTGTGCACCTGTGTGGCCGAGGTCAGACGAATGGACGGAGCACGGAATATCCCATGCTGAACTCTCTGGAGACCCCCACAACAGGATGAGTTAAGGAGAGTGCAGCTGTCCTCAGCTCTGAATTTCCTGCCTCTTGGTGGTTTCAGGCAGGATCTTAATGTTATCAGAATGCACGGTTTAGAAATGAAGGAAGGAGTCGTAGGAAATCATGGGCCACTTCCTGAGTGGGTGTAAATTGCTGTAGTTTCACTTAAGTCAATGGAGCAATGCTGATTTTCACCAGCTGAGGTTCTGGCCCCAGGTGTTTGGACGGCATGAGTGATCTATTATTATTTGTATTCTCTGTAGCACCTAAGAGCCCGTCATGGACCAGGCCCCACCGTGCTAGGCGCTGTACAAACACAGAACAAAGACAGTCCCTACCCAAACAGTTTCCAATCTAAGACAATAGATAGATACCAACAGCCAGGGGAGTACAAGGAAAGGTGAGACAATTTGGTCAGCATGGTAGGCAGTGGTCTGAGCACACCAGCAGCGTGACCGTTGTCCAGTTTTTTGTAGGCCTCCTGGCAAAGGAGAGTTCTGAGGACAGTTTTAAAGGAGCACAATGAGTTAGAGATATTTCAGTGTCCTGCCTCATCAGAGACACCCCATTTGGCTCCTGATCCTGCTCCGATTCCCTCAGCTAGGAGTGCGCTGCACCGCCCTGTGCAAGACTTGGGTTCCCTGCCCATGCACGGCTCTGGGAGTGACCCAGCTCTGACTCCAAATCCTGGCTCTTCCCTTCAGGCCAACAGGCACTGGAAACTCTTTGGGGGTGCTTCTATCTGATCAGATTGCATACCCATTTCCCGCACTGGGGCAGCTGCTCGGAGCGGGGTGCCAATGACGTGCCTGAACCCAACACTAACACGTACACCACTGAAAATACTGGTGCTGGAAAATGTATGCAAAAAGCTGCAGTGTCCCTGGAGCCAGCACACTCAACCGCTGGGAGAGACTCCCCTCCTATCACTCATCTCTCCAGTTAACAAGTGGCACCGGGAGTCTCTAAATGGACAGCCTCTCCTGAATGGAGTCCCTTCCAGTGCTCTTGGCCAGAAGAACTGTGGGTCACAACGAGATGGCATCTTAAGGACTAAGCTGAGAAGGGAGGGAAGACACCAGGACCAGGTTCCTGTTTCTCCCCTGCAGGATTGCGGAAATTTGATGGAATCTCAAGTGCCTGGCACAGCCTAGCAGGGGCCTGATCCTGGTGGGGGCCCCTCGGTGCTACCATAAGAAGCAGCAGCACTATGGCAATGGATGCGCTAAATAGATAGCCAAGTAGAACTCCCTTTTGTGCCCAGTTCGGGCTCAGAATCCTTTGGTGAGGATAGAAATGAATTACATTTCCAGGCTTTCATTAACCATAATAATTATATCACATTAACAGCCATATAATAACACCACCACATAAGCCCCTTTCATCCAATGATCACAAAGCACTTTACAAAGAGAGTCATTATCCCAGCTTCACCCTTCAAATGGGGAAGTTGACGCATGGCAGGATGATGTGCCCAAGGTCACGCAGAAGGTCAGTGGCAGAATCAGGAATACTCCTGGGCTCCTAAGTCCTGGTCCCCTGCTCTAGTCACTTGATCATGCGGCCTCTCATATGGCACATTTCTCTCACCCACAAGCGAGGGGCTAATTCTGCTATTTGGGTTTGACTGGCCCCTCTGCACGTGTGGAAGCTTAGTGGTGCAATTGGATCGTTAAGAAACACTGGTTCCACAAACAGTGATTATCAGCACCCAAGCTGGTGGCTAAAAGCTGGAAGCAAATAACCAAGAGGAATTGTTATGCATTTGTCAACATTCTTTTGAGGGCAAAATCCCTTCCCAGTCTCTCCCGCTTGAATCCAGCTCCTTTGTATTCTCAGCTGATCACCCTAATCCCTGAAATCCAGCAAGCGAAGAAGTACAATCCCGATCCCTCCAGGCCATTTATTCATCAGCCGTGGAGTTTATCAACTAGCAAGACACAGAGGGTGGGTTCATCCACCTGGTGTCTGAGGAAGGATTTGATCTCTATTGTCTCCTCTGTGAGCATCTCCCTAAACACCCGCCCAATAACATGTAGGCAGCCCATGTTCCAGGTGTGGCTCCCGCAGAGAGCACCTGGAAAGTTTACTTGTCTATGACACAGTCCAACAAATCTGGGATCACCTGTTCTGTCGGCTGGAGCTTACCAAACAATTTTTCCTCGCACTTTGCCTTGAAGCTACTCCACCCCCATGGTGTTGAGAAACCCAGGACTGGCAGGCCCAGGACTGTGATGGTGCATAGAAGTCACTGGGCTGCCGTTCTTGGTCAGTGGGAGTTCAGTTCTTCACGCACATAACCTTTAGAACTAAAAAGCAACCTGGGGGAGACCAGCGTTACCAGAGGAGACCAACTCTCAGATGGTATTTTGCATTGATTGATTTGGGTACTGTCTGATTTGGGTACATTTTTAAGGGTATGGGCCAAAGTTCTGCTAACAAGCTAGATAATAACAACAATAAAAGAGAAGAGAAATAGATAACTTGCAAGCACCAATTAATCAATCCCTCAAGACTCTAAAATCTAAGTTGCAAAATAGGGAGCCATCCAGACTGGCAGTAAATGCCTGTACTGATCTCATGCAGCACATTAGCTAGCTGTGCTCTGCTTATTTAGCAATTCATACGTAGCGTGTGTCTGTCTCTCCCACACATACAATAGATACCCACTAACCTGGATAAGGGAGGGGACATCATTCCTGGATCTCTCTTCATTCTGATCAAACTCTGCCCACCTATCAGATCATGTCTATTTATACAAAGGTGGTGGTACAAAAGATTCTCTTGCACATCAGTGTGTGTGTGTGTGTGTGTGACTGCACAGATCTTTCAAACCATGTTGCGTGTTGACACTATATTCCATGCACTGCTGTCCAAAAAGTCTTTAAAGGAGGTGGACATGGGGCTTGAGCAATTAGTCATAACAAAGAAAGCCTAAGAAAATAATTCCTTGTCGTGAAGCAAAAAGGGGGAAAAAACCCCAACCCATTGGGCTAGTCCACCCTGATGTGACATTTTCCTTCCTCTTCCTCTCAGCCAGACCCCATGCAAAATAAGCCCCTGTTCCCATAGCAAAGGAAGAGCTGTACTTACTGCTAGTGCTCATGCTGCTGATCCTGCTCTGTCCTTCTCATTCAGCAAAGCTGCTCTTTCAATCCTCTTTCTTTTTTACGGGTCCCGGTTTTCCCCCTTTTCTTCCTAGGAAAAATATTTCCGTGCGATTGCCATCTAATTCATGCCAAGGTGTCTCCTTGCGTCCCACGCTATTAGCTCCCCAGGCTCCTGCCTTTGCTCTTAATTTTGAGCAGGCAGATAATAAAGTCAGGGGTGGGGACAAAAAGAAGCAGGGAGCCTGAGAATAAACCAGGGCAGGGTGTTCCTCCGCCTCTCTCTCTCCTCCCAGCACCCGATCCGCCGTGCGAAGCCGCACACAGAGGCGGCTGACTGACTCCTGCTCAGGGCTGAGTTCTATGGAGGGTGCTGTCATGCACTGCAGACCAATTCCCGCTACAGCGCTTCTTATAGCTCAAGGGGGGTGTGGACCACAGAAAGGGGAGGGGGGCCTGCACAGAGCTTGCTCATCGGAAGAAGCTGCTCACCCCAGTTGTCACATAGCTATTGAATGGAGCCGCGGGGAACCCCACCTAGCGCTCCCCTCCTCTCGGGCAAGTTGGTCAGCAGAAGGCTCGTTCCAGAGGAGTTCCGCTCAGGCGGGGCTGGGCTTGAGACAAGAGCATTTGTGATGAGAAGGAAGAGAGGAGAGAGAGAGAGAAACTGAGCTACACTGGGCAGGGTTTGCTTGGCTTGAGCCAGCTGGTGGCGAAGGGGCTGTTCGGGCTGCCCTCTGCTGGCTGAAATGCGCCGGCGCTTGTTGCATGCGATGATGTTTGCAAAGTGAAGGAAACAGGCAAGCAAGCAGGTGTATCCATTTGCAATATTGCAAATTCCTTCCCACCCCCCCCCCCCGCCCCCTCACTCCTCCGATGGGTTCTCCAACTTTCACCTTTCCCTATCATCACGGTCCCGACCATATTTACAGCCAGGGAGGGCTGCCTGGGAGACCCTCAAAGTTTCTTCTTCAGTCAGTTTGGCAGAATAGGATTTGCATTTGTTTACAATTTCCAGGGAGAATATCAGTGTTTATTTTTAAGCATTTTTTCCCATTTTGATTGATTTACATCGTCATCGTTGTGCAAACTGATGGGCTTTCGGCATTTTTTTCTTTTGATCCGTTTAATTTTTCACAGAGTGGGAAATTATGGGAAGTCAGACATGGCTTATTTAATAACAGGAGACGATTTCAAAACATTCAAGCTTTATAATTGTTAAAAAACAAATCGTCAACACTACATATCAAACTATACAATGTAAGTGTCCCTAAATCAGACTCTTAAGTTCTCAAGCAGCATTTTTCTTACTTTGCCCATTTCAGTTATAATTGCTGGAAATATTTTTTCCTGGGTTTGGTGTGTGTAGGGCGAAATCGAGCTTTACTGACATTTACCGATAAAAATCGAATCCTTCCAAGCCTAAACTTAAGCGGCCAAAGGAGTCACTACTGGCCCTCTTCATCCGTACGTGAGCATCCGACCTTTAGCTCCTGTATCTCCCACCTGTCATTCCGTAGGAAGGAGGCTCCTCCATTTTGGCGCCTATAAAAACACCTGGTATTCTCTCTCTTGCACCATAATAAGTGATCCATCCCAGAAATGCTGCTTAGTGAACTGAGGCTATAGAAAATACTATTTTATGCTAAAGAAAAGCCTCTCTTGTGTTAAGATTCTCACTCAAGGTTTCTTGGTGTCCTGGTCCCTCTGGCTTCAGTGGAAGGTTTGCTGGCTTAAGGGCCACAAGATTTGACCTTTGGTTGCAGGTCTTTTCCCCACACCGTGTCCCACATTTGGAACTTGGGAGCTCTGCTGACATCAGGATGTCAGGGAATGATTTGGACGAGCGCTGTACGAGAACTGGAGGAGGGTGTATATCACACCTGGCTGTCTAGATGGAAGGAATGCTCTTCTCTGGGAATCAGTGAGGAGCTGTCTTTGCAGGCGTCAGATCAGGGCTCCAGGAAAGGACTTCAAAGTCACTCACTCTTTGTTTTGTTAGTAACGCTGAACTCACCAGAGCTGCTCATGGAGTTCAGTCAGCGGCAAGGAGACTCTGAGGAGCTCAGGCAAGGTTCAAAGAAGCAAGCAATGATCTCATGTCCAATGAAAGGGGTTTCTTTATACAGCGTGACAAGCTTTGCATCTCTCGCAGCTCCTTTGCCTGTACTGCCTGCCATGCAGGCAGGGCCATTTTTCTGTTTGATTGGAGAAAGCAGATGTTTCAGGGGACGTGTAGCAGGTCGTGTGAATTACACGTGCACCTTTGGTTGCACTGCAAACCAACTGACTAAACCCTCTATGTGTCTATTTCATTTGTATATCATAGGAGCAATCTGCTCATTTCCACAGAGGGGGGGGGGGGGTCAGGACACTGGAAGGGCGTTTGGAAATTGACATGGGGAGAGAGGGGTATAATTTAAAACAAGAAAGCAATGCAGTTAGTAAGCCAGGAGTCTACCACCACTCTGATCACTTTGCCTATGTGTTGTATACCTGTCCCCTGCCCTTTGTCGGTCTTTGAGCTGGTAATAATGCCTGTAGTTAATGTTTTTTTATAGGAGTCTGTTTTCAGTTGCTTATAACTTTGCCAAACAAGGTTGAAATTTTCAATGCCCAGTGTCCGGCTTGGACTGATTTTTTGAGGAGATGGGAGGGGGGAGTTTCAGCAAAAATGGCTCACCTGTTTATGAGAATGAGGTTAGGGGAAAATACATTGCTTGAAACTTGGCAAGCGAGTCACCCTTGGGCCAGAGAAGTCTGTGTTGTTGTCCTTATAAAAATCCACCGTGACATATCTGAGTGACACACCTCTGAAAATCACCATTTGCACATGCATATTTTGAGGTTTGTTAGAGGCTGGCAACTAAATTCTCCAAATGTTCCATCTGTACTGAGCATGCTCCACCAGGGCAGAGGGGCTGAGTAGGACTTTTCCTGCAGTTGCTTCTCCCACCAACCAGAGGCTGTTGTGTCAGAGAGGGGAGACTGTCCTCTCCTGTGCTCTCAGTGGAACCAGGAAAAGGAGGATATAATAGAATATATTCTGGTGTTTTAGGTTTAGCCAGTAGGTGGTACCCTCTGTAACATATCTGGACTTTGCAACAGCCATTCCTGGCAACGCAATGACAGTGAGCATATCTGGTGTGTATCTCTGGGAAGGCAGCTCGGTAGCCAGTCCATATTGAGTACAGAAGCCTGCCCAGCTAGTAGCAGTCCTGCAACCTGTATAAGGTGTATGTGACAGAGGAAGTCAGCAGCCTGAATCAAAGGTAGAGGGAGGGAGGGGCAAGGGTGGTGGAATAGGAGCAGTCTGGTTAGGAACGGGGCACAATAGCCCATAACCACTAGAGAGCACTGCTTTCCACAACCTGGAAGAGAGTCCAGGTTTCCTGAGTCCTAGCTTTCCTCGGCTAACAGCAAATATTTGGGAAACCCATTAGCAAAGGGGGTGTCTTATCTCCCTTTAGTGACTGATCCATATAGAGGATAACTGCTACCACTGACTCTGTTACCTCAAGTGGTAGATGGCTGTGCTACGGAGCGAAAGGTCCTGCTGCTGCTGACCTAAGAGAAGCACCAATATAGTTCCCCATAATGGAATTGCTGCTTTTTCAGTTTGCTTTTTTAAAAATACTGGTTTTTATCTGTAATTTCCTATATTAAAGGAACATTACTGTTGCAAAGCCAAGCACTGACACATTAGGAAATGCCAGGAATTAGATTGCCTGTGCCACCTTAATATGGCTCTCTTGTGCCTAAACATTGCACCATAACACTTAATTATACAATCAAACACATTTTTTTTCCCACAAGACTCCTGCCTCATTCAGTGCGCAGCATGGATGGTGCTAAGTGATGAATCAGGGTTGTGTAGTAAATGAAGCTGCCTGTCCTGGCTTCATTTGGTGCAGAAGTTGGAAGCTGTGTAGCGAATGAGGCAGAGGACTGCAGGAAAGGACAGGGTGGTTGAGTGGTTTAGGCTGTTGAATGCGCCCTAGAGAACTGAGTTCTACTCCTGCCTCTGCCACAGCGTTCAGGCGTGATGCTGGGCAAGTCTTTTAAACCCAACTTCTCACAAGTGGCCATTGCTTGTGTTCCTCATTTTTTTTGGCGCCTGACTTGAGACCTCATGGTCTGATTTGCAGAAGTCCTGAGCAATCAGCGGTAAGTGAAGTAAATGTGAGCTGTGCTCTGAACATGCAATGTGCTATGAAAATACTACAGACGCTGATAAATCAGGCTCAAGATGTCTCAGGCTGGACTCCCAAAACTACTAGACACTTAATACGTTTTGGTCTTAATCTTTCTGTGCCTCAGTTCCCGACCTGTGAAATGGGGATAATAGCACCCCCTCGTCTTACAGGATTGCCATGAAGATAAATCCATTCATGTCTATAAAGCACCCAGATCCTACAGTGCTAAGCGTGATAGGAAAGCCAGGGAGGAAATTAATAACCCAGTATTTAGTACAGGATTTGATGGTGTGCAGTAAACATGACATTGGGCCACACATTGTATGATGGGGATAAAAAGAAATACTGAATAACTAACTACCCATTCAGTGAGCACTATCCATATGGTGCACTGTATGAGGCAGGGGTCCTTTGGAACAAATAGTACAGTATGTGATCATTTAATTAAAGACTGTACCATAATGTCGACACACAAGAGAGCTGAATGAAGGCTGCACAGGTAGCTTTAATTCTGGCATTTCCTAACTTTTGAATGCTTGACTTGGTAACCTTAATGTCCCTTTTCATCTCGCTTTGTTTTGTAGATAGCTGTGGTGAGAGAAAGGGAGCAGCTGCCAGTGTTCTCCACAAGGGACCCTCAGCTTTGGACCTGTCTCCCTCACACCTTCCATACTAGCCCCCATCTATTGCCTTTCAGGGTGCACTGTGAGGCCCATTTGCGTTCCCTAGTGGTGTGGGAGTGGGAAGGCTTTTCGTGGGAGATACATGACTTGCTGCTGCGTTGTCATAGGTTGTTGGGAAGGGGCAAGGGTGCCAGGAGTTGTCAGGGCAGGAACTCCCTCTTAATAGACGTGTGCAAGTCTAAACATCATCAATCTGAGGCCCTGGGTGACATCTACGCAGCCCCATTGCCTTCAGTGCAGGAGTGAACTAAATTGCTAAGGAGAAAAGTCCTGACCTATTAGAAGCTGGTGGAATTTCATGCAGAAACTCTAGTTGTAAGTCGGTTGGAAAACGAGTGATGTCCAGATGTTGCTCTCTAGTGTAAATCCAGAGTCACTGCCTTTGAAGTCAATGGAGTATTCAAGATGTACCTGAGATCAGAAACTGGCCCTTGGAGTCCCTAGATAAGCTGGCAGTCAGGACAAGGGGCGGGGGAGTGGTTAATTTCTGAGATGCTCTGGTTTAGTGGAGCAGTCAGGAGCATGGGCAGCTACGGTAGAAGTGGGCAGAACATTCAGTGCTTCAGCCAGCATAAATCCCTGCTCCCATTTCC